ATATATATACCACATCATCCTTATCCATTTGTCTATCAGTGGACACTTAGATTGCTTCTGTTTCTTGGCTATTGTAAATAGTGCTGCAGTGAACATAAGGATGCATGTGTCTTTTCAAATTAGTGTTTTAGATTTCTTCGGATAAATATCCAGAAGTAGAATTACTGGATTAATCCTTCCTTGTCTCTTGTTATAGCCTTTGTTTTAGTGTCTAATTTTGTCTGGTATAAATATTGCTACCCAGCTTTTTTATTTTCATTTCCATTTGCATGAAGTATCTTTTTCCATATCTTTCAGTCTATGTGTTTCAGTCTGAAGTAGATGTCTTGTAGCACCATGTGTATGAGTTTTGTTCTCTATTCGACCACTCTATGTCTTTTGATTGGAGCATTTAATCCAGTTACATTTAAAGTAAATGTTGTTAGATATATAGTTATTGCCATCTTATTATTCATATTTTTTATCATTTTACCCCCTTCTTCATAAAGAAGTCCTTTTAACATTTCTTGTAATACTGGTTTGGTGGTGATGAACTCCATTAGCTTTTTCTTGTCTGGGAAGCTCTTTATCTGTCCTTCAATTCTAAATGATAGCCTTGCTGGGTAATCTTGGTTGTAGGTCTTTACTTTTCATCACTTTGAATATTTTGTGCCAATCCCCTCTGGCCTACAAAGTTTCTTTGAGAAATCAACTGACAGTTTTATGGGCGCTCCTTTGTAGATGACTGACTGCTTTTCTCTTGCTGCTTTTAAGATTCTTTCTTTGTATTTAAGCTTTGGCATTTTAATTATGATGTGTTTTGGTGCAGGCCTCTTTGAGTTTGTCTTTTTAGGGAATCTCTGCCCTTCCTGGGTTTGTATGTCTGTTACCTTCACCAGGTTAGAGAAATTTTCAGTCATTATTTCTTAAAATAAGTTTTCAATTCCTTGCTCTCCCTTCTCTCCTTCAGGTACCCCTATGATGCAAATGTTGGTACACTTGATGTTGTCCCAGAGGCCCCTTAAACTATCCTCATTTTTTAAAATTCTTTTTTCTTCTCACTGTTACAATTGGATGTTTTCTGCTACCTTATCTTCCAAATCACTGATTCAGTCATCTGCTTCACCTAATCTACTATTGATTCTCTCTAATGTATTCTTCATTGTATTATTCATTTCTGACTGGTTCTTTTTAATGTTTTCTGGTTTTGTTTTTATCTGTCCTATCTCTTTGTTAAACTTCTCACTGATTTCATCTACTCTTCCTCTAAGTTTATTGAACATCCTTATAGCCAGTGTTTTGAACTCTGCATCTGGTAGATTCCTCATCTCTTTTTCTGGAGTTTTGTTCTGTTCTTTCATTTGGGATATGTTTCTTTGTTTCCTCATTTTGGTTGCCTCCCTGTGTTTGTTTATATATATTAGGTAGATCTACTATATCTCCAGGTGTTGGTAGAAGGGAGTTATGTAGTAGGTAACCTGTGAAGACCAATGGCAGAGTCCCCTTGGTCACCTGAACTGAGTGCTCCAAGTATGTCCCTTGTATGGGTTGCATGTGCCCTCCTGTTGAAACTTAATTCCTGTTGGCACATCAATGGGAGAGGCTGAACCTCAGGTTGACTGGCTGTGAGGAATGCCCATAATTACATTGGAGGTGCTCTGAGGTAGGGGCTGACCATATGGAACAGGATTTATTTTACCAGGATTTGCTGCCTGCTGAGTCCACCCTCTGGGCATGTCATTTGTGGAGGTTGTTGGGTGGTTCTCTGGTTGACTTGAAGCTGACCACCAGATGCCTTGGTTCCAGAGTCTCTTTGGGAGGGGCTCTGGCGCAGGCCAAGGTCAGCTGCTGCTTGTGCCCAGCTTGGGTCCACTTAGTCTGAGCTACAAAGTGATCTGCTAATGGTTGACACTAGTGCGGGACTTGGGGCCACTTAGCAAGAGGTACAGGGAACGCCAAGGTCAGATGCTGCTTGTTAGGGGTTTGTGAACCTTTGATAGGTTTTAGGAAAGTCTCCAGCACAAACCATTTGTATGGAAAAGCCAATAGAAGTGGATTGGGTGAACCTAAAAGTTGAGTGGGAGCAGAGTCTCAGGGAATCACCAGGCGGGATGAATGGTGTTAGCCAGGTTAATGGAGACTCAGGTATTGTGCCCACCTGAGCCTGCAGGCAGGGTGGGGAAAGGACTCAGTAAAAGAACAGTGGCCTCTATCATCACTTCTGTCTAGGGGAACATCTCCCTTCAACCTTCCCCCTGAAGCCAAACAATTCAGTTTCTCCCCATATGTTCCTGGTACTTTCCGAGCTGCTGCCCCAGTGCTGAGCTCAAAACAAGTGAGTCTGTCAGCAAGTAAATTTGTGTGGGCCTTTTAAGAGGATGCCTGGGACTCCAGCAGCCCTCTGTCTCACTCAGGCACAGTCTCACTAGTTTTCACAGCCAGAAGTGACGAGGACTTCTCTTCCTGCACTGGAATCCTGGGCTGGGACCCCTCACTCCCAGAGGGACCTCCAAAGTCGAGATATCCCTCCAGTTTTTTAACTACCACTCTGTGGGTATAGGCCCTGCCCATTCCCCATCTCTGCCCCTCCTACCAGTCTCCAAGTGGCTCTTTCTCTATATCCTTAGTTATAGAACTTCTGTACAGCTAATATTCAGGCAGTTTTTAATGATGATTGTTCTTTAGTTGTAGTTTTGATGTGGTCATGGGAGTTGGTGAGTACAGTGTTTACTTTGCCATCTTGACTGGAAGTTTTTGCATTAAAATTTTTGGAGTTTGTTTGTTTACTGTGGTAAAAATATGTGTATGTGTATAACGATGTGCCATTTTTACGAGTTTTAACTGTAGAATTCTGTGGCATTAATTATATTCTCAGTGTTGTGCAGTCATCACCACTATATTTCCAAATTCATTTCATCACCTCAAACAGACTCTGTAACTAATGAACAATAATTCTCCATGCTTCTCTCTCCTAGCCCACAGTAACTTCTACTTTCTATCTCTAAGAATTAACTTATTCTAAAGATTTCATCTAAGTGGAGTCATACAACAATGTGTCCTTTGTGTCTGATTAATTTCATTTGGCGTGATGTTTTTGAGATTCATCCATGCTGTAGCATGTATCAGAATTGCATTCTTTTATATGGCTGAATAATATGCATTGTATGTATATACCACATTTTACTTTTCCATTCATCTTTGATGGTCACTTGACTTGTTTCCACCTTTCAACTCTTGTGAATAATGTATCACTTAACATTAGTGTAAAGTATCCAATACCCCGTCTTCAGTTCTTTTCAGTATATACATAGAATTAGAATTGCTGAGTTATATAGTAAATCTCTTGTTCCTTTTTTTGAGGGGCTACCAAACTGTTTTCCACAGAGGCTGCACCATTTTCCATTTCCACTAGCAGTTTTTCAGGGTTCCAGTTTTGCACATTCTCATCAATACTTCTTACTTTCTGTTTTTGTTTTCACTTTTTTATTATAGCCTCTGAGTAGGTGTGAAGTGATACATTATTGTCACTTTGATTTGCATTTCTCTAATGAATAATGCTGTTGATTATCTTTTCATATGCTTATAGGCCATTTGTATATCTTTGTTTGGAGAAATGTCTATTCAGTTTTTTTGCCCATTTTTTATTGTCTTTTGTTGTTTAGTTTGAGTTCTTTATATATTCTGGATATTAAAACCTCATCACATGTGCGATTTACAAATGTTTTCTCCCATTCTATAGGTTGTCTTTTTACTTTCTTGATGCCTTTTGGTGTTCAAGAGGTTTTAATTCTGATGAAATCCAATTTTATATATGTATGTATGTATGTTTGTCACTTAAGGTTTAATGATCATATTTAAGAATTCATTTGTCAAAGCCAAGGTCAGAAGGATTTACCCCTATGTTTTCTTCACAGAGTTTTATGGTTTTAGTGCTTATATTTAGATCATTGATTAATTTCCAGTTATTTTTTGTATATGATGTGAGATAGTGATTTACCTCATTCTTTTGCATGTGGAAATCCAGTTGTCCCAGCACCATTGTTGAAGAAACTTAATACATTTTTGATAAATTTTGATTGACCGATATGATAGATGAAAAAGATCAACATTGTAATTTTATTTTGTACGTTTTTATCAGTGAGGAAAAGCATAATTTCAAGTTTAGCAATTTTTTTTTCTGTTTTAAGTTTCTTTTAACGCATAGTTCTCTTATCGATTTAATGTTTGGGGTTTTTTTTTTTAATACATGTAGGAGATGTCCTTGGTATAGAAAATATTTCTGCATTAATCCAGTTTATAGAGATTGGGACTTACTACAAAACTCGTTTTCTATGTTCCAGTTACATCTTTTTAAAAATAATTGAATTAAGTCAGAGTAATTGAGTTTAAATATCAAATTTAAATTATGTCACTATAGTTCCTATTCATTTTTTCCATAGAATGTCTGACACATAATAGATATTGAATGACTGTTAGTTCAGTTAATATAGGCAGGTTTAAGACAGGTTATTACGGTTCTTGATAGTAGAGATTAATAGCAAAGATTATTTTAAATGATACAGATTGAATTTCGAAGTCTTTTGAGTCTTTTTGTCTGTGGATTTGTAAGCCCCAATTTACTACCAGTGGGCTAATAAAGTTTCTTTTGATCCTTTGAATATGAGGAGGAAAGTAGTCAAATATATTTTGGATACTAGAAAAATATTTTGTAGTCTGTGTCTGAAGTGAGTGTCTTGTCTCTTAGGAGTATTGTCTTTTTTTTTTTTTCTTTTTTCATTTAAACAACTAAAATGAGAGTAGTCACTCATTTTAACTACAGAGTAGTTAAAATTATTGGTAATATAATTACATCTGAAGTAATTTCTGGAGATCATTTTTTCACTTAAATTGAAGTAATATATTAATAGTTTACCTATTTCCCAATTATTTCTGGAAACTAGTTTATGACAAAACTTTCTGTTATATGTGTTTCCTTTTTATTTTGGTATTTTTCCTGATTTTTTGTCGTTGATGATTTTTAGCCAACAGAAGCTGTACCTCTCTCTTCTCCCACTGTCCCTGTGATCCCTGTCCTGCCAGTCCCTGCTGAGAATACTGTCATCCTACCCACCATACCACAGGTTTTTATTAGTTTCTTTTTTCTTCGTAAAAATTTAATTTGCTTTTAATGTTTTATTTGTATTTTTTCAAAGTGTTTTAATTATTTCTTTGTTAGATTTGCTAATTCACTTTGGTCTTCAATTGGTATTTTTAGAGAATTAAATATTTGGGATTTAATATAAAGTAGGTTCAATATTTGCCATATTATTAGGTTGTCTGAAATAGGACACATTCTAAACTTCATAATATTGAAACTCTTTAGATTTTTATCATTCCTTTTGTACTTGTAAATCTGTTTGAAACAGTTTTAAAATATTTTTGCTTTTGGAGATTTTGTTTATCTTTTAAAGATAATAAAAATTATTGTTCACCTGATCTGGTATTAGATGTGTCATTTATGTAACACTTGGTTTCCCAGTATATATTTATCTTCTTTGGAAATAGACATCTTTCTGTCATTTGTTTAGATAACATACTTCACATTTATAGTTAAAAATAAAGCTGATATATATGTAATATATAGGAATTCTTTGTGCTATCTTTGCAACTTTTCTGTAAATCTAAAAGTACTCTAAAATCAAAAGTTTATTTTAAAAAGTTAACACGTAACCATTAAAAAATAAAATGAAATAATAACCAAACGTCAGAGATTCTGAACTTTTTTGTTTTTAGAGCGTTAGTAGTTCCAAATAATGGCTTATTAAGACACAAACTGCCTTACCAACAGAGTCATCCAAAGTCGAAATAGTGGTAGCATTATTGAGTATAATAATAATGGTCTTTGGTGTGAAAAAGCTCAGTCTCATTTAAAATGAAATTAAATACATTGTTAGGCATTTTTACAATCATTGGTCTGCACCATAAAATCTAGGTAAAAACAATATATTTCCTGTGTAAATGCAGTTTCAAAATAAGTCCCTTTGAGGGAAAAAAATGGGATATCAACTGTGGTTACTCACATCTCAGTGCCTTTCTCCTCTCCTAAAAAATGAAAATCATTGGGAACATCATACAAAATAGGATTCTAGGGGAAATTACAGGTACTACACTAACACTTTTTTTAAGTAAGCTGTCTAAGGGTTATTGTAATACCGTAATAATGTAACATCTTTCCAAGTATCTAGGATTTAGAAATACAGTATTTTTTTAAGTAAGAGATTTGAAAGTTTATTTTACTCTTGTCACTTCAGTTAATCTCTTGATGTTAAAATAGTATTCTAGAATCTTTTGAAATTTTGTAGTAGTTTCTCTTCTTATATTCAGTAGGGAAACTATCCTTTCCTATTCAGAATGCTCTGATTTACTTACTCCAAGTCTCTCCAACATAGCATCACAGTACACTTGGAAATTAAGACATTGCATAGCCTTGTAGTTATAAAGGTCTGAGAGTAGGTTTGATCTAGTCTCGAATTCCAGTCCTACCACTTACTAGCTATGTAACTGAGCAGTTTACTTAACCACTCTGAGCTTCTCTTTATTCATCTGTAACACTGAAGATGAAAGTAGTGCTAACTTGAGATGTTTACAATAATTGAAAGACTAATAATGCATGTGCAGCTGGCACATGATCTTGGCTATTCATATTATTAGTTGTTTCATACTTCTTTAAGACAGTAAACCAAGGAACAAGTTTTAAAAAACAAATGAGTATATCTGCACAAGAGAGATATTTTATTTATTCTACCTAGTCCCGTTTTAGGTTTTAAATATACTACAAATTTCAATGTAGGGTAGTTTAGTAATTCATGTTGTACTGTGTAAGAAGCCTATAATTGTCCCTCATTTTCAAGAATAATTGTTTTCCTGATTAACCAAGTATAACACGTACATTATAAAATTAATACGACTGATTAAAATGTTTGTCTCCAAGTAAATTTTGAAGTCTATGCTTAATATATAACCCAATGTTAACATTTTAAATGGATATAATTTTTCTTTTAAGGATCTTATACTTCATATTTTGGCTGCATCAGGATGTAATAGAAATAGAAGCAGAAGATGCAAGATTCAGAGTTTAGTCCTGCCTTTGTAACTCAAACAGGTTACATAACATCTTTGAGTTTTATGCTCCATCTATTAAAATGGGGGAGAACACCTCTCTGACTGCCTCAGATGAGTTTGAGCATCAGGCATATTGGACAGATTGCTAGATCTTAATTTTTGTCTTTTATTACTTGTAAAACGTTTATACTTTTCAGAGTAATTTATTGATAATGCCACTTAAATTTTATAAAAGTTCACTACAGTGGGAATTATTGTGTTTATTATACAGAGTGGTACAGAGAAAGAGATATTTAATGGCTGCTTGAAGTTGCAGAAAGAGCATGGACTTTATAATGAGACCTACTGTTCCTTAGACTCACTTAACATTGCCTGGCCTCACCTCTTTCTGGCCACGTGATTGTGGGGAAATTACTCAGCTTCTCAGAGCCTCAGTTTCTCTATATAGAAGCTGAGCATATAGTAGGTGAATAACAGATGCTAGTTCTTCCTATTGAAGATATAATCTCCATGATACTGGCCTATTAAATATACAGGCTTCTTTACACCCCAAAATAAATATTTTGCTTTAAAACCAAATGCTTTAGACCTCTATTTTTACCAGTCGTGAAGAGCTACCATGTGATAAAGGTATTGTTGAAAATGCTTTATAGCTAATGTTTTTTGTGTGTGAAACCCTTTGTTCATACTCTAATATGTGCTTTGGAGGGATTGGTTTTTGTTCAAATTTTTGTTATATTTCTAATCACATATATACTAAGATGTATATAACATTGTTCTTGTCTTCTAGGAACCTACTATGTGTTTGGGCAAGAGACAAGTTAACATAATTCTCACATGACATGAGAGTAGTTTCATTAGAAGTATATCAAGTGCAGAGCATCCTATTGCTTCTGGACCTTTTAAGTTTTACAAAACATCTGAGTGTTGGGTCTTAAATTATTTGATCATTGTATAGTCTAAAGCATGACTTGATATTTTTATTTTACTGATAATCTTAAAAACAATAGCATACTTTGGATTACCTTGGTGAACCTTTTTTAATGATACTCTAATATGCGACAGCAGTGCCCTTATTCTATTTGCTTTGTGGGGGTGTTTTTGCTTTTGTGTTTGATTGTTGTATTGTTTTCAAATCATTTCAGACTTACAGCAGGTTGCAAGAATAGTACCATAAATCCCATATACCCTTATTTAGATTCTCCAGTTCATGTTTTTACTTATTACATATTTTATTTCTCTTCCATTATAATTGAGTACGAAATTATTTTTTGTGAACCATTTAAAAGGATGTTTCGCTCATGCCTCTTTTTCTCCTAAATACAAAGATTTTATAAGACTTCATGTTTTTTCCTGAGAACCAAAATTTCACCATAGTACAATGAGCTAAATCAGAAAATTAACATCAATATAATACCATTATCTAATCTATAGACTTTAATTACATTTTTTCAGTTGTCCTAATAATGTTCTTTATAGGAAAAACAAAAACAGATCCTTTTGGCCAGTCTAATACCAAACATTGCAGTTAGTTTTCATGACATTTAATTCTCCTTTAATCTAGAGTTGTCTTTTATGAGTGTGGCATTTTACAAAAACAGGCTGGTTATTTTGTAGACTATCCTTCAGTTTGTGTTTGTTTGATGCGTTTTTATATTTAGATTGAGGTCATATATTTTTCCAATTTTATTATTATGGTAAAATACACATAATGTAAAATTTACTACCTTAACCATTTTTAAGTTTACAATTTAGTGGTATAACATATATTCATATTGTTGTACAACCATCACCATCATCCATCTACAGAACTCTTTTCATCTTTCATAAAACTAAAACTCTATACCCATTAAATAAAAACTTCCCATTTCTACCTCCCCCTAGGTCCTGGCAATCATTGTTCTACTTCGTTTCTATTTACTCCTCTAAATACCTCATATAAGTTAAATCATATAGTATTTGTCTTTTTTGTGGAAAGCTTATTTTACTTAGCATGATGTTCTCAAAGTTAACCCATGTCATAGCACATGTAGCATTGAATTTTCTTTCTTTTGAAGGCTAAATGATATCCCATTTTATGTATATACTGTATTTTGTTTATCCATTCATCTGTCGATGGACTCAGGTTGCTTCCACATTTTAGCTATTGTGAGTAATGCTGCTATGAACATGGTTGTACAAATACCTCTTTAAGACCCTGCTTTCAATTCTTTTGAGCACATACCCAAAAGTGGAATTACTAGATCATACAGTAATTTTATTTTTAATTTTGGGGGAATCTCCATACTGTATTCTGCAGCATCTATATTATTGTATATTCCCAACAGCAGTGCACAGTGGTTCCAATTTATCCACATCCTTAGCAACACTTGATATGTTCTTTTTTCATGATAGTAGCCAGCCTAATCGTGGTGAGGTGCTATCTCATTGTAGTATTGATTTTTATTTCTCTAAAGATTAGTTATGTTGAGTATCTTATTAACAATTTGTACACCTTCTGTAGAGAAACGTCTGTTGAAGTACTTTACTCATTTTTGAATCAGGTTGTTTTTTGTCATTGAGTTTTAGGAATTCTCTTTATTCTGCATATTTCTTATCAAATATATAACTTGCAGATATGTTTTCCCATTGTGTTGGTTGTCTTTTATTCTGTAGATAGTGTCTTTGATGCACAAAATTTTTAATTTTCAGGGGGTTCAAATTGTCTATATTTTCTTTTATGGCCTGTGCCTTTGGTGTTATATGCAGTGAATTATTGCCAAATCCAGTATCATGAAGCTTTTGTGCTATGTTTTCTTCTAAGAGTTTTATTCTTTTAGGTCTTACATTTAGGTCCTTCGTCCATTTTGAGTTCATTTTTGTATATGGCATTAAATAAGTCTAACTTCATCCTTTTGCACGTTGATATCCCAGCATAATTTGTTGAAAAAACTGTCTTTTCACCATTGAATGGTGCTGGTGCCCTTTTCAAAAATGATATATTTTTTAGAACATATTAGCTATATATGTGAGAGTTTAT